CATTTTTAGTTTTTGGTTATGAATGAATTTTCTGTAAACATTTACAACAGGTTTTTCTGTCAGGATAAGTTTTCAATTATTTGGATCAACAAATGGAAATGGATTGTTGGTTCACATGGAAAGTGTATGTTTAACTTTAAAGGAAACTGCAAAACTACTTCCAAAGTGCCTATACTATTTTGTATTCCCGCTGGTAGTAAATGAGAATTCCACTTACTTTCTTATCTGTGTTTCCATGACCGAAACATAATACTAGAAATAATCCACTTAAAAATAATCATGGTGGGAGCATGTGCAAAGGAAACCTGTTGAACCTTACAACCCCCTTCACGAGCACATCCCTACTGACCTGAGGTTCTCCCTGAAGTTTGCCCACCTCTGTAAGATTCCACCCCTTAACCTTGTGATCTGAAAACATGTTCTTTTAGATTTGTTAAGGTTTGATTTATGGCCCAGAATAGGGCTTGTGTTGGCAGATGCCCCACGTGCACTTGAGAACATGTGTCCCACTGCTGTTGGTTGGCCTGTCCTACAAACTCCCGTCAGCTAATAGTTAATAGTGCTGGTTAATAGTGCTGTTCAAGTCATCCTTGCGCTTAGGATTTTCTGCCTACTTGTCTATTCATGACTGACAGGGAAAGGTTGAAACCCGCTCTGTAATTGTAGATATCCATCTGTCTGACCTCCAGTGTTTCTTGATGTGCTGTTTTGTTAAGGGCCTGTACATTCTGGATTGTTAATCACCTTGGTGGACTGGCATCTTTATCAATAAGCAATATTCCCTTCTATCCTTGAAATAGTCCTTGTTCTGAAGTTTCTTTTTCTAATATTATTATAACTACTCCAGTTTTCTTTTGGATATTGTTTGATGGTATATAATTTTTAGCATTCTCATATTTTTTACCTATTTATGACTTTATTTTCAAAATGGGTTTTAGAAGTCTTTATATAAATGGGCCTTGACTATTTCTGGCTTTTTACTGATATATTTGGTCATTCAAACTTAATATAGTTATTGATATGGCTAAATTAAAATCTCCAACTAGTAGCTGTTTTTTATTTATTCTGTTTTTTTTTTCATTTTTCTGCCTTATTTTTCATTAATTAAACTGTTTTAAAAACAATTTTTTAGATGTTTATGGACCTTTATTATATATATCACTGAGAATTGAACCCAGTGCCTCACACATGCTAGGCAGGCTCTCTACCACTGAACTACAACCCCAGCCCCCTAGTTGAACATTTTTTTATGATTATATTTTTCTCTCCTCTATTGAGTTATCATTTGTACCTCTTTAAACAATTTTTAACCATTGGTATAGGAATCTAAATTTTTGATTAGTGTATCATTATATAATATTTTACCTACTCACAAGTAGTTTGACTTTTAAATATCATAGTTCTACTTCTCTGCTAGTATATATATTAGTCATAATATATTTGTATGTAAAATATCTCTACATTTTACCATATATTATATCTGTATTCTATCTACTCTCTGTATACATATCTATGAATATGTGTACGTATTAATGAATCAACAGAAAGATGAAGAGAAGTCAGACGCAGGTTTAAAACAGAGCAAAAACCCAAGCAATCAGATAAGGAGAACAGTGCTAGGTGAATCCTGAGGGAGCAGAAGAAGCCTTCACTCTGATCCAGAAAAGTCACTCAGGGTAGCCTGGGAAGGGCCATTGTATTAGGATAAGACTCTTGTAATGATCTAAGACTTACTTCACATCTTCACAGCACTCATACCATTTTTATTTGATGACACCTTAGTTGTCCTGGCTGTCTCTCTAACAAATTGTGAGTTCTTAAAGGGGAGGGAGTTTACCATATGCAAATTACCCTTGTTCTTCCCCTCCCTTTCGTATTTTTCTCTTCTCCTTTTCCCAGTTCTCTCATCCTCTCTTCTCTTCTCACCTCCTCTTTCCTTAGCCACCTCTTTTCACTCTCCATACCTCCTTTCACCCACCTCTTAAAAAAAAAATCAAGAGGCCTATTTTTATTAAGTTTTAGGTTTACAGAAAACTTTGGAAAGTTCAGAGAGTTTCCATACACACCTTGCCTCTGCCCCCTCAGTATCTGCTATTAGTAATGTCTCGCATTCGTAGGGTACATTGTTGCAATTGATGAACCAATATTGACCTATCACTAATCAGAGCCCATAGTTGACATTAGGGGGGTCACTGTTGGTAATGTACATTCTATGGGTTCTGACATATGTATAGTGACAGTACCCACCATTACAATATCATCCCCAATAATTTCACTGCCCTAAAAATGACCTTTGCTCTATCTGTTCATTTCTCCTTCCCTTCCCAGAACCCTTGGCAATCACTGATTATTTTACTATTTCCATAGCATCACCTTCTCTAGAACGTCATAAACTGGAATCACACAGAACAGAGCCCTTTTGGATTAGTGTCTTTCACTTAGCAATATGCATTTAAATTCCTCTCTGTTTGTCATGATTCATTAGCTCATTTCTTTGTAGCATTGAACGTGGTTCCGTTGTGTGGATGGACCACAGCTTTTCTGTTTACCTATTCAAAGACACCTTGGTCTTTCAATTGGTTTTGTAATAATGAATAAAGCTTCTATAAGCATTCATGTATAGATTTTTGTCTGGACATAGTAATATATTTTTTAAATAAGGTGTGGAAAAGGAGGGATTTCTAAGAACAACAGAAACACTAAAGAAAACATGTATTAAAATTTCCAGACTGAGGGGGAAAAAACAAAAACAAAACATTTATGAGCAAAACAGCAGGGGGCGGTATTTGCAAAGACATTTTACAACAGTTGACCATTCTATTTTACTTAGTATATTATGAACTTAAATAGATTACCAAGTCCTTTGACTATTTTGTATTATTTTTTACAGGTATGTCTGTGGTAGAAGAGGCACATAGCAGAAAATCTCTCTGCAAATCTTGTAAGTATTATAAGATCATAATATTAAAGTCTCAAGAGTCCAAGAAATCTTATAAGTATTTAGACCTGCTAAGGATGACCAGAGTTAGATTTGTGTCTCATTATTAGAAAACATATCATGAAGTGCAAAACAATCGTAATCTATAGACTTTTAGATAGGCAGAGTTATTTTCACAGGACAGAGCTTTGACTTTTGAATGCTAGATATTTCACAGATCTCGTAGGAATAATATTTGCTGTTTTTCTCTGTAGCTGTAGGAGAAAAGGATAATTTACCCCTTTGGTTATTTTGCTGACAGTTCTTTCACCAGCAATCACACAATCCTTTGTTGTAAGACCAGTTGATGGCCAGAATTAGAATTCCACCAATTAACACCGAATGAAAAAGAAGAACCCCAAATAGCCATGGAACTCTGAAAAAGGAAAGGAAAAGATGCAGAGAAGGGGTATACATGTGTGTAATGGTATAGATAATTTGTATCTTTAATGCACACGGCTTTCTCGAATCAACAAGAAAAATATAAATAACTAAATATAAAAAATCAACTAAGCTTATCAAAAGCAGATTAGAAGAAAGGCACTCAATTGACCTAAATGGATGGCCATCCCATCTCAGCCCAGAGAGCATTGTAGGCGAGGACTGAAGGTGGAATTCAGATTCTTTGTTCCACAGTCAATTTGCATTTTCTCTACTGCACAGGAAGTGGTGGATCCAGATCCCTGTTTTCTGGACTCGGGATTACTAGCCTACATTTCATAAGGTGGGTAAAACTCCACATTTCCCTCCACCATGGAGGCTTAATCACTTAATCACTGTGGTTTTGACACCTTTGAGCAACGTCCCCTTCTTGTATATCAATATTCATAAAATACATGCTAAGCAGGCCTAATGAGTTGGCCTTAGGAATAAAATCATTTATGACAAGCCTGTCTAGAGCTAATAAATGTCTACCAAAATCATTGTTTTTGTTTTAGCAGAGATCATCTTTGGCCTTCTGTTCCCCCCACCCCACTACCTGGCAAAAATGAGATATAAGAGCATTTTAAATAGCAAGAAGATAACATCTTCTGCAGGTTAAATGCCTGACTTTCTTTTTGCTCTCAGGTGGGTGTGCATCCAGCTCATTCTGTGAAATATCTGTTGTCTGAGAAGTTTAAATAACCATCTGATATGGAAGGCCAGGAAGTCCAGCCTGGCTTTCTTTGCAAAATGTGTTTTGTGTGTTATCTGCATTATAACTGCCCTCCTCTCTGAACTGAGCTGGGATCCAAGAGTTAAGTGTATCCCATTTTCCTGCTTATAGTTTTTTTGTGTGTTTGTGAAAAAATTAATCTGAACTCAAACATGCAGGTATCTAACTGGTCAAGCTCTGCCCTAATCCCCTGAGAAAGTCTCCAGAGGTCCCTCAGCTCAGCCCACACACAGAGCTCCCAGCAGACAGTGTACAAAGACAGTGGTATCAGCCACTCTGGTTGGGTGCCTGTCACTTTGCTTAGCACATCATGGATGGGACTGGTTATCTCCCTGGTGATTGTGGAAATGAAGTCTGCCTGGGCAGGGAACTCCGCTGAGCCTTGTAGTGGGGGTAAACTGAGGGCAGGACGTTTGGCAGAGAAATAAGAGGGAGCCATAGAATGTCTCAAGCTAAGTGTCTAACCCTCATGTAGGCTACTTGAAGAGCTGTCTGGGGTCGAAACTTTTCTGCCAACCAGAATTTCATGTAAGAAACAAACTCAGCAGGCCAAGGTGGAAGCATTGCAAGTTTGGGGCCAGCCAGGACAACTCAGAGACACTCTGTCTCAAAATACTGAGGACTGGGGATGTAGCTCAGTGGGACAGCACTTGCCTAGCATGCACAGGCCTTGAGTTCAATCCCCAGTACTTAAAAAAAAAAAAAGGTAATCCTGGGAGAGGCACATTGTCTCCTAGCTTAATTCTGCAGAGAACCTGTTTTGAAGAAAAGCATTGCAGAGATGTGGTGGAGAAAGGAAATGAAACTGTTATTTTTTTAAAAAAAGTGCTGTCTTCCAGTGGTCACACCCATATATCACTTTTTTTTTTTTAACACGATCCTTCTCTCTCTGGTAGTAAGACTTTGTGAGCCAGTTTTCATCTCTTACTGATCTTGTGTTTTTATGAATTGACAAGAAAACAATGAGAGAGGCTGCCTAGGAGAGGAAGGGGATTGCTCCAAGAACTCTGCAGGCCTTGCAAGACCCTACCTGCACTTGTCACATTGGCCAGGTAAGGAGCTTGCTTTGATCTCCTTGAGTGCCCACCCCACCTGCTGTGTCCCCTCTCTTTCTCTCCCTTCATCCTACCAGTAACAATATGTGCCAACCTGGACAAGGCACTTGATCTTTCTAAATCTTTTCTTTATTCCAAATAAGGATCAGGAATTATACATGCTTAAAAAAAAAAGAATTATATACCCCAGTATCCCAAATAGGTGAAAGCTGCAAATATTACTGAGGTTATATTTTTCAGAACCTAAAATTTTGAAGGGAGTGAGCTCAGACAGTGGTGCTATTTTAATACTAATGAACTTACTTCTTGTGCAAAAGCATTTTTATGTGTGCACACGGTGGCTGCTGAGGCCCTATCTAGGTGCATGTGTGGGTGAGGGAAGAATTGACCCCTCATCCGACCTGCCCACACGTATCTTTTTCAGTCTTTGAAGAACAGGCTGGAAATTTATCTTTTGATTGTAATCTTACTTCTTTCTAATTATTTTTCTTGTTATTGATAAATACATAGAAATAATTTCCATTCTAAAGAGGGAGAAACATTTTAAGAGTATGATTCAAGTGACCTGCTCACATGAAGCATTTGCTTTATTTTCTGATAAAAAATACAATTTGCCAGGCACCATGGTGCACGCCTGTAATCCCAGCACTTCTGGAGGCTGAGGCGGGAGGATGGTGAATTCCCTGCCAGCCTCAGCAAAAGTGAGGTGCTAAGCAACTCAGTGAGACCCTGTCTCTAGATAAAATACAAAATAGGGCTGGGCTAGAGGTGTAGCTCAGTGGTTGAGTGACCCTGAGTGCAATCCCAGGTACCAAAAATAAATAAATAAAAATGGTAATTAGTTAAAACAACTCTTCAGGATGAAGTTGCAAGCAGCAAGGGCTTTGTTCCTGAGAGTTGCCCTGACTCAGCCCTGTACATGTCTGCACACTGTGTTTCCCTAACCAGGGTGCTGTTGGTCTTCAGGAGACTCCAGTGAGGGCAGTGGGGGAGAGTATTATTATTATTACTTTTGCAAAGTGAGAGTAAGATCCAATCCACCAGTTTAAGACCATGTCACCTTTCCCCCCAAAGGCGATCCCCACCATGTCCATCCCCACCCAGGTTCTTCCAGGCCTGGGCACTGGAGAAGCTGCAGGAGGCGCGGCTTCCTGAGGGGCCCAGGGATCTTCCTCCCCCCAGCTAGCTCAGGGGATTCTATCCCAGACTGGGGTGGGAGCTGTCCTTCAAACCCATCTGACCATCCTTCCAGGGCAAGAAATGTCTGCTCAGGAGGGGTGTTTAAGAACAACAGTTTCAAATGAATGAATCAAAGGACTGAGGAGAAAATGAGTGAACAGGCTGATGCCTGGCCAAGAATGCTGCTGTGGGCGATAGGGAGATCCAGGCTGGCAGTGTCCTGGGCACGATTCTCTGTAGGGGACATAGTTGGGGAAGGGTGCAGTGAGGAAATGGTGACAGTCACATTGGCTGGAGGTGTGGCAGTTCCGACCCCAGAAGCAACACTGTGATGGGCGGGGGGAAGCCTTAAAAACAAACAAACACATGAGAAAAGGAGAAAAACTTGGACGTCTTTACACCTGTTTTTACTTCTCTTTCTGCACAGGCTGGATTCTGGGAGAGCAGTGATAGAAGTTTCTCACCTTTGGAGGAAATGGCCTGCTACCAGTCACTTGACCAAACATGTCATGTGAATTATGTAAGTAGCTCTGCTTGACACCCAGAGGGACCCAGGAGCAGTGGGCACAGGGCTACCCCTCCTTGAGCCTGGGAACCACAGTGAAGAATCTACTGTCACTCTTTGGAGTCCTGTTGTCTGCAGTCTGGGAAGTCTTGGTTTTCCCAGTTAGGGGTGGAGAAGAGCCCAAGACCAAGGTCCCTTAGAACTTCCTGAGTTTAGGACTCTCAGCCCCAACCTTCCTCCACCCCCTTTCTGCAGCCTACTCCACATGGTCTTCTCTTTCCTCTGATGCTCTGGAGCCTGCCTGACTGCTCCCCTGGAGACCATCTTCAAGGGGATCCAGGGGCAGCGTGGTGGTGGGGCCGTGTCTTGATTTCATACCATCAGCATTGCAGATGAGCTGACACCTATAAAGTACTGTTTTCTTTGCTTGCCCTCCCCCACTGAAGTTGCATCTTCACAATACATTACCCTTTCCTGTCCTCAAAAAGAACCAGTGGAAGCTGAGAATTGTGTTCAGGTTTGCTCTGTCTCTGGGCTTCCAGAGAGATTTAGCTTTGATGATCCTTCAGCTTCTCCAGGGAAACAGAACCAACAAGATACATGTATTCAGAGATTTAGTTCCAGGAACTCGCTCCTGTGACTGTGGGGGTTGGCAAAGTCTAAGGCTGTAGGTAGGCTGGCAGGCTGGACCCAGGCAGGAACTGGCACTGCAGTCTGGATACAGAGTTCCTTCCCTGGGAAACCTCAGTTTCCCAACTAAGTTTTCTACCCTGTCCTGGAGGCTGAATGTCACACCTTTACAACACCCTCACAGCAACACCTACATTCATGACTGACTAGATCACCTGTGCCACAGCCTGGGCCAAACTAACACAGAATGACCTTCACGCTCAGTTTCAAAGTCTCCTGGACTGCAGGGGACAGAAAACACTCCACGCAAAAGGCTGGCACATGCTTGGATGTCAGAGCAGGCCTGAGTCATGTGATCAGACTGTGGCTCCTCAGCTTGGGTAACTCAGACCTGAATTGTGTATCCCAACTGGGAGTTTCCACGGGACTAAGTGAAGAACAGAGAGGCCAAGGGCAGAAAGTTGCTATCATTTCTCTACTCTCTATCCTCAGAGGAGTTACAAAGAAGTTGCGAGGGAATTGTCTGATAGAAGCTAAATTTTGACATTCAGTATTTAAGTTAAAATGATTCCAAATTGATTTACTAATTTTTGTTTCCTGTCAAGGTGATCGCTGAATAATTTCTTATGTAGAGGGGCTCGATGGGATCTTCTATGGTGTGATCCCATAGAGCTCCAGGAAAACTCATTTATTCCAAAAAGTCTTTTTTTTTTTTTTCCCCAATTGACCCACGACAGAGCCTGAGATTCTGCAATTAGGTGCTCATTTTGAGCAATAACTTCTTAAACCTGTTACAAGGAAACACCTGAAAGTTTTGCATCAACAAGGTCCTGAGAGCACTTTGGTAGGTTGTGCAGTGAACCCAGAACTCATTCTTCCATGCAGCCTGGATGGACCTCCTGAGTGCAGGAGTAGGAGATGGGGGTGGGAGAGGAAGCATCAAGAGAAAGGGTCTGAGGGACCATGAAGAAGGCGAGGGGGCTTGAGGAGAGACACCTCTGAGGCAGCTGCTGGTCCAAGACTGTGCTGAGGGCAGGAGCACTGATCTGAGCTGATATACCAGCTTTTCCCTCAGATGCTAAACATGCCCCCTATTCCTCCCCCCAACTTGGACCCCCACAGTCTCCACTTCTTGGATGGACAACTCCTCCCGGTTTGCCTGGAATTTTCCCAGTTTCAGCACAAAGAGACCTTTGATGAGGACTCTGCTCAGTCCTGGGCAAATCAGGGAAGCAGTCACCCTAAGTGCTACATCACCATGGAAACAGAAAAGAATTGTTTTTATGAGTTTCTTGAGTGGGGACAACAGCCAGACAAACTTCAGTTTGGGTGGCAGCACTGAGACCCTAAAGGCAGACCAGGCCCCCAGACAGCTGCATGCTCAGTAGTAAACACCTGACTGACTTGTTTGGTCCTCTGTTTGGTCTTTTTTTTTGGCCACTCTCACTAAAGATGGGCCACAGGAAGAGGACATGCCTGTGCTTGCCTGTTGGGGCCAGCAGGTTTTAGTGTCAGAGCATCTGTTAAATAGTGTGTGACCTCAGCAAGTTTTGATTTTGTTTTTTTCCTCCATGTCCTCATCAATAAAATGTGATGTTTTCTGTCAGATGTTACATCCAACTCCAGCATGAGCCGTCCTTGTCTGTTTTCCTCTCTAGGAAAAAGCAGAAGGGCTCTGGAAGGACAGAGAAGGTGCCTCCCCCACAGGTAAGGAGGCAGCAGGAGGAGCTCGGGGTGGAGCTTTTCTCAATAGAGCTGGGGGCCAGCCTCCCCAGGCACAAGACTGTGTTCACCCCAACAGGAGCAAAGGCCTTTCCCAGGGAATTGAACTATTAGGCTATTAGCTTGCATACTCTCCTTAGCAAGGGCAAGCTTCCCCTGCCTCTTGTAAAACAGAGCCCAGGCAGGGAGGGGAGGAGCAGAAGTGAAGGATGAATAGCTCAGGGCCTCCTGAGAGAGTCTGGGGGCCTCAGGCCTGAGCACAGGGAAGGCCCTGGAAAGGGTGGCAAAATGTAGCAGTTCCCAAAGAAATAATGTCTGGGACTCCGACCAGCTCGGTTAACTGATTCCACGATTTTTGTGCCAGTTTCCTTTTTTCACTACACGTGGGTGTGAGGTGATGGAGCAGATGGCCCCCTAATTGGCCTAGGGTGAGCGTTCCTCTGGGTCTTGCCCTTCTGGTTTTCCTCCTCCTCTTGACAAAGTATTTCTTACATATTAACTTTTCGTGATGGCTTCCTCCCAGAAGCACGGCTGCTGAGGATCCTCCTGGTGGGCAGAACAGGCAGCGGGAAAAGCGCCACAGGAAACAGCATCCTCTGCCGGCCAGCCTTTGAGTCCAGGCTGGCCGCCCAGTCGGTGACCAGGGCCTGCCAGGGGGAGAGGGGCACGTGGAATGGGAGGGACATCCTGGTGGTCGACACGCCCTCCATCTTTGAGGCAGAGGCCCACTCGCAGGAGATGTACAGGGACATCGCAGACTGCTACCTGCTGTCTGCCCCAGGGCCCCACGTGCTGCTCCTGGTCACCCAGCTGGGGCGCTTCACGGCCCAGGACGCGGTGGCAGTGAGGAGGGTGAAGGAGGTGTTTGGGACCCAGGCCATGAGGCACACGATCGTGCTCTTCACCCACCGGGAAGACTTGGGCGACGAGTCCCTGGACCATTACGTGGTCAACACGGACAACCTCGGCCTGCGCCGGCTGCTGGCGGAGTGCGGCCGGAGGTACTGCGCCTTCAACAACCGCGCGGCGGGCGAGCAGCAGCGCGCGCAGCTGGCCGAGCTCATGGCGGTGGTGGAGCAGCTGGAGCGCGAGCGCTCCTACCAGGGCGACCACCTCTTCCTCCCCGGGCCGCGGCTGCAGCCAGGCGGGGGCGCCGGCGGCCCGGAAGCCTATGCGCACTACGTGGCCGAGGTGAGGGCGCAGGTGGACAGGCAGAAGCAGGCGCTGCGGAAGGAGGAGAGGAACTGCAAGGTCAAGGCGACCCGCAGAGCCGAAAAGTGCACTTTTTTTGAAATTTGTGCCATTATTATTTGGTGCAGCTTAATTCTTACTGTTATTGCGCTGATCATATATTATCAGGTCTGATGCTTTGTGTTTTAGGGATTTCAAAATATATCAATTACCGCATCCACTGCTCTAAGTATCCTCCTCAGAAAGAGGCCCCCCTGGTCTGTCGAGGGCTGCAGGTCTAGGCAGCTCCGTTTCCCCTTCTTTCTTAACAGACTTCCGGTTGGGTTCAGAGCTCCGGCCTCAGTTCCAGGGATGTTTTGTCTAAATACAATCCAGGTGGTCGTATGGTGTTTATCCTGCAGGTCGTTGATATTTATCCTGAAGAATTAAAGTCATCTTACTACAATGACACATGCATACCTATGTTTATAGCAGCACAAGTCACAATAGCAAAACTATGGAAACTGCCTAGTTAGGTATCCATCAATGGATGAGTGGGTAAATAAAATATGGTATATGCACATAAAAGAGTTTTATTCCACCATAAAGAAAAACGAAATGATGGCACTTGTAGGAAAATAGATGTAACTAGAAACCATCTATAACAGGTCAAACTCAGAAGGTCAAGGGTCATTTATTTTCTCTCATATGTGGAAATTAGAGAGGAAAGAGAAAAAGAAAGGTTAGGGATGGATGTCCTAAAAATCAAGGGGAGATCAGTAGAGGAAAGGGACCTAGAGATAGGAGGAACGGAAGACGGGGGAAAATGCTGGGGATTTTAAGGAATAATTTTTGTGTGTGTGGGTTTCCATATAAATTCCCAAGTAATTCTTATTTATAAAATTTTTGCTAGGATTTTGATAATAATTGTTTACCAAATTTTTATATCAATTTGACAAGAGTCAACACCTTTAACCAGTAGATTCTTTCAATCTATGAAATATCTCCTCTCTTTCTTTCACCAGTGTTTTGTAGTTTTCATCATGAGTCCTGTTTTTTTAAAAATTTAGGCAGATATTTATTTTTTGAGTGTTGATATATTGTGTGCAATATGAATATGTAACAACAAATCCCCTCAATATGTACAACTATAATATAACAATAAAATGTGGAAAATGTTTTTAAAAACTATCATCAACTAAATACATAGATACATACACATAGGTACATACAGTGCCATTCTCTTTGACAATGATTGGTTCAGAAATGCTCATGAGACACCATGCCAACCAATGAGAAGTGAGTAAAAGTCTTGGTAGGTGGAGTAAGAGGTTTTTCCTTCCCAGGGGAGAACTATAGCAAGAACCAGCCTCTCTTCTTCCTTTTGACCTAGTTGGGTCTGGTTGTGGTCCTGGCACTGCAATAGCCATCGTGCTACTAACTCAGACTTGAAGACAATGCTTCCAAGTAGAACAGAGAGATGGAATAAAACCCAGATCCCGGGTCCTCCACCCTGGAACCCTACTCTATCTCTGCTTTTCCAGTTATGTTAACCAACACATTTCCTAATAGGGCAAGCTATTTGGGTTTCAGGTCTTTTTTCACCTGCACTTAAAAGCATTTGGACTCATGAAGAGTTCTCCACATTCCTTTTTTATCCTTGAAATCTGTCAGAATTTCCCTGTTCTCTTGCTTCCTTTGAGGAAGTGACATCCAGAGTAAATGAAAAGGTTTGTTTTTTCTTGTTCTTAGAATTAGGAAATTAGCAAAACACTTCTAGTTGGATTATTTTGACAAATGGGAGCAGAGGAAATACTATTTCTAGGCAGTGCTCCTCTGTGCTTCTTCACCAGTCAGAGGGAAATCTGAGAGAACAGAGCTCACATCTGCATGCTCCAAGGAATCTGTGTAGCAAACATTCCTGTGGGAGGAAGGGCGAGGGAAAGCCTCGCTCCTCCTGTAGATGCCCTGGGTTAATGCTCAGTCTGGTCCCCTGGAAGTTCACAAGGGGCATGTCAGCTGGGGACCAGGCAACACTGCTCAGGGGAAAGTGGTGGGCGGAGTCTTGACTGGGAAGCCTGGGAATGAGCCACCCACACACATGGAGGGGCCAACCTCCTGAAGCCCCACTCTCTGATACTTTCTTGGAACCAGACTGCCTTCCCTGGAGGGAGGATGAGACCATCCATTGTCAATTGGACCAAAGCCCTCAGAGAGCTTCAAGGTCAGCATATCCAGATCCAAAGTCTTCACCTTCTTCTCCTCAACCTGTTGTTACTCCAAAGGGCACTGCTGCAGATGGAGCTGCATTTCAGGGGTTGCCAAGACAGATCCTGGTTCATCCCCTAATGCTGTCAGTGACCATCTTGCATTGACCCCACCCTCAGTGTCTCCCATACCTCCTGCTCTCTATCCCTGTTGCTAGTGGTACAGCCCAGGTCCTGACTGCCTCTAGGGAAACCTTTCCTCTAAATATAATCCCTGTCCTCATCTTATATATCCGACCACACGGTTTCATGGGTTTCCCTGTTTCCACTGAATTCCACCTTCTGCTTGTATTGCACCCCAGTGTCTTCCTGCTCCTTACTACCACTGAAATGTGGATCCACCCTTTCCCCAAATCCCCACAGGCGTCACACAGTTGTCCAGGATTTACTGATTTGAAGTTAAAGATGCCATGTACCCATGCATCCCAGGCAACAGTGGGAAATTTATTCTATGACAAGGCAGGCCCTGGGCCAAACCAGGGCCACTGCCTCTTTGTGCAGTTGTGATATAAGAAGTGCTTTGGCATTTTAATCTGCTGGGGATCTAACGCAGGCCCTTGAGCATACTAGGCAAGTGCTCTACCACTGAGCTACATCCCCAGAACCTTCCCCTTCCCCCCCTTTTTTTTGAGACAGGGTATCACTATTGCCCAGGATGGCCTTGAACTTACAATTCTCCTGCCTCAGTCTCCCGAGTAGCTGGGATTACAGGTGTGTGACATCACATCCAACTACATTTTTAAACGGTTGAAGAAATCAGAAGAATACTGCTTGTTCTTCATACATGAAAATTACATGAAGTTCAAAATTCAGTGTTCATTGGTTTTATGGGATGCAGCCTCTTGTTCACAGTGGATTTTGCATACAAGGACAGTTGAGTAGTTGTAATATCTACCATCTAGCCCACTGAGCCCAAGACACCTTCTCTCTGGTCCATCACAGCCCCTGCTCTGGGATATTCCACTGCCTGTATTCCCTGCTGTGAACTACTTTCCCTGGTGAGCTCCATCCCGCTGCTGTGATCCTTCACTCTACTCCCTGCTCCTGCCCCCTTTCTCCAGCCCCTTCCACATCTCCAGAACCCCCTGGTTTGTTCTGCAGACTGCCCTCATCGTCTCTTCACTCAGGGGTGCAGAGAGGTGACAAGTCATCAACTTTTGCAGCTGGTAATGTGGTCGGGATGTGATTGTGAATAAAATAAGAAATAACATGCGTCTCCTCCTGACATCACAATATAGAAACTGGAGCCCAGGAACGAGGCATTCCCAGAGGCTCACAGTCCAGGCACCTTCCTTCCTTCAAGCCCGCAGGTATTTCATGGTGGCTTCCATCATTTACCCTCATGATTTTTAACCAACTCCTCTCTCAAAACAAAACAAAACAAAACAACACTCCTTTAAGTTTCAATTACCTAAAACTGCTGGGCCTTCTGGGAAACTGAGGCAGTGCAAAGGCCCCCCACCTTTGAAACCCTGATTCTTGCGATCAAGTTGGAAAGATTTCAGACATATTGCTCAAAGAAACAGGCATGGGTTTATAGAAGGGACAGGAAAAGGGGAAGGGAACACTCTCAAGGGAGAGAGTGGATCCTCTTAGAGAGGAGAGGGACAACATGCCTCTCCTGCACCCTAGTTTTATTGAGGATCCCAGAGATATTTCCAGAGAGTCCCACCCAGATCCACCTCTTCACTTTTGACAGACAGCAGGATAACATCAAACTTTCAAGTCCCCACATCCATGACAGCTCTAGGTCATGGCTAGAGCCCTGCTGACTGGTTCTAATTGGATTCTTTTTTAAAAAAAAATTCTTATTTTATTTATTCTAATTAACTAGATATGGCAGCAGAATGCAATTGTATTGATATTACACAAATACAGCACAGTTTTTCATGTCTCTGGTTGAACACAAAGTACAGTTACACCATGTGTGTTTTCATACATGTACTTAGGGTTCTAATTGGATTCTTAACCATAAATTCTCACAGATTTTATGGTTAGGAGAAATTATCCTATCTCCCTAAGTTGTGGGATCTGGTCTGTGAAAAAGATCACAAAAGTCTCCCCCTTCAGGTTAACTTGTGTTCCTCTTATAGACATTATTTCAGGCCTGTGTTAGACCATGATGCAAAGAAAAGACCACCAACTCCAATTAAAATCAAGTGAAAGCAAGCTTATTATTTTGACCAGCCGGGCTCTCTCTCACAAAAACTGTGGAACCAGAGACAACCCTCCAGCTCTCCAAGAGTACAGCTTTATAGCACAGAAAGTTACACAAAGGGGGTTTGAGAACTTACAGATAACAAAATTTTGACAAGCGTAACACAAAAGCTACTTCATATTTTGCTGGCCCGACAGCCATCAGAATTTATGAAGGTCATTAGAGCCTCAGAGAGGGTCATTATCTGGCCAGAGAAGGCCAAGATTGGAGGCACCACTTTAGTGGTGCCTCCTAAATGGGTGAGTTCAAGGCACAGGCAGGCATTCCAAGCAGCTTTACAACATCAAATTATGGCCAGGCTATGCAGAAATCCTATTTTACAGAAATTCTGTTTTACAGAAAACAGAAATAAATCCTTTATAAATTGGGACAAGAAGGCTCCTGATCTTAAGAGGGAATTAGGCTAGGTTTATCACCTGCATTTCTCCGCAGATGGCAGGTAGTTTGCTGAGAAATGTGACATAGCCTGTCTACTTAGGCCAGGCAGAGCTTCAGGTAAATTGCTTCTTGGAAAAGCATGTGGTGGGGGCCGGGGGCAGCACAGTGGGCCCATTTAACAGAATTATTCTGTTAATTTCCTGTTCCCACCATTTGCAGCTGTCTGTTCTCCAACATTAATTACCATATGCAAGAAAATGCCACACCATGATGGTGGCTCTGGGGGCAATCACTTGAAAATGTTCAGTTCCCACGCTTAATATAAAAGGTCATTAAAATGACAAGAGTAAGCACACCGCATAAAATCAAAAGGGCAGATATTACATAGCGAGGAATCGTGCAGTTTTCGGCTCTGAGGATCGCCTTGACCTTGCAGTTCCTCTCCTCCTTCCTCAGCGCCTGCTTCTGCCTGTCCACCTGCGCCCTCACCTCGGCCACGTAGTGCGCATAGGCTTCCGGGCCGCCGGCGCCCCCGCCTGGCTGCAGCCGCGGCCCGGGGAGGAAGAGGTGGTCGCCCTGGTAGGAGCGCTCGCGCTCCAGCTGCTCCACCACCGCCATGAGCTCGGCCAGCTGCGCGCGCTGCTGCTCGCCCGCCGCGCGGTTGTCGAAGGCGCAGTACCTCCGGCCGCACTCCGCCAGCAGCCGGCGCAGGCCGAGGTTGTCCGTGTTGACCACGTAATGGTCCAGGGACTCGTCGCCCAAGTCTTCCCGGTGGGTGAAGAGCACGATCGTGTGCCTCATGGCCTGGGTCCCAAACACCTCCTTCACCCTCCTCACTGCCACCGCGTCCTGGGCCGTGAAGCGCCCCAGCTGGGTGACCAGGAGCAGCACGTGGGGCCCTGGGGCAGACAGCAGGTAGCAGTCTGCGATGTCCTTGTACATCTCCTGCGAGTGGGCCTTTGCCTCAAAGATGGAGGGCGTGTCGACCACCAGGATGTCCCTCCCATTCCACGTGCCCCTCTCCCCCTGGCAGGCCCTGGTCACCGACTGGGCGGCCAGCCTGGACTCAAAGGCTGGCCGGCAGAGGATGCTGTTTCCTGTGGCGCTTTTCCCGCTGCCTGTTCTGCCCACCAGGAGGATCCTCAATGAGGCCGCTGTTGCAAAGCAGATCTCTTCTACTTCACCTGTGAAAAAAATAGGGAGCTGTGCTCTACCAAGTTGTGATTTTCAGACCATGGACCCTCATGGGAGTCTCTCACAAGCTAAGGACCTCCTTCGCAGACACATAGGCATATTTAAATGCATCCAAATGTGTGCCTACAGTGTTAACTGGTTCTTGAATTGTAAGATGCCCAGCTGGGGCTCTGGCTTGACCCATAGCCAGGGGCCAGAAGTGCCACACTAAGGAGCTGCTCCACGCACTTCATCTGGATGATTTTTCTTGGGGAAAAAAAAAAAGTGGTCCCTCTGCTTTTATCTGAATGGTGCTTAGGGCAGGCCAGAGGGCACTGGCTATTAAATAAATGTGAGTCTAGAAGGATGCAGAGATGAGAAGCCCAAGTATACTTCTCTCATGCACAAGTTCCCAGGTATACAGCGTAGATGAGCTCAGTGCCCTCACCTGGACCTTAAGAATAAAAAAGGTCTCACATGGCTGAGCTGTAGTGACCACCACCACTGCCAGATGAACATCCCTGTGTCTCTTTGTTGGGGGGAGTGGGGTTCTTGAATTTGATATGATTCCTCATCTCAAATTGCGACCTCCTGGGTCACAGTTAATGTTAATGCAAAATCTGGGAGATGACACTAGAATGGGTGGCTAAAGAAGATAAGACCATCAGAAGCACATGTGCTAGAAAGACCATCTATTTGGTTCATTGAAGTGCAGGAAATTATAACAAAAGTGGTGTAGGAGATGATGGCTCTGAGCCAAGAGCTAAATCTTCAATATTGGAGGGGGTGAGAACCTGGAGATGTCTAGAGTTCTTTAGACCCAAATGAACTCAACCTCCTTTTTAGGCACCTAAAATTGATTATTCTGTTCTTTCTATGCCATGTTGAGTCTTCCTTTTGTTATGTATTCTGGGGGTGTTTCAATCAATCAATCACTAAGTCTCTATGGGGAACTTTTTTCCAGTGAGAGGAACCAGGGCAAGAGAAACCATGTTCTTCAATTCCCAACCCTCTAACCTCTGGCCTGAATTTCATTTCTTCCACAGGCTGTGCAGGGACAGCGTCACACCATGTAGTGTGTGATTGGTGACAATGGTGGGCCAGGCACAAGAGGGCTAGAGAGGTAGGGAACAAAGGATAGTTGCCCTTTTCTTCTTCAGTCTAGAATAATGGGGTTTCCATCCCTGTTTCGGGGGTGGGCTATGGGTAGGGAGGCAAGAGCAACTCTCCCAAAGACTGATGCTCTTTAGAGCTTCCAGACTTTCTTACCTTTATTCATAGTCCCATATCTGCTTTTCTGAAACTCTTCCATTCTTTTCTGGAACAAAAACAGGAAAGGAATAAAAGGTGGTATCCATATATGAGCTGGTAAGCACCTCAACTCTGAACAATTATTAACTTAAGAATTATTATCCTTAGATAGTGCTTTCCATTGCTAATTTTCTAACTTATATTTATTTGAAAGCATCTATAAGTGCTTTGCACACAGGAGCCAATGCTGGGTTATTCTAACACGGTGCTCTGTGGCTTTTCTCCTTAGCTTGCAGCAAAACAGGAAATGTTTTTAAAAGCAAATCAGTTGATTATCGCTCTCAAAACTGAAAGCCACAAAATGAAGAAAGCATTCTTCAGTGAATGAGGAGTGGGGCATCATTTTCTTTTTTTTTACTGGTACCAATGTAGGCAAACTTGCAGACCAGACAAAACAATGCAACTAACACTGATGTGTTTGAATACTGGGGATTTTCAATCCCTAACACTCCATTAGATGAATATCCCCATGAGAAAGGGGCACATGAAAGGCACTTTCCAGTGGGAGGGTGGCCCTGGGGACTGGGCACTTCTCCAAGGACCCGTGAGAGATGAGGGATTCAAAGGGAGGGAGCATGAGGGCTCCCTCCCAGCGACAGGTGGAGAGATGATGGGGCTGTGGCTGAAGGGGAAGAATCAACATTAGAGACCAATTCAAAATATTTCCCACTTAATTTTTAGTCAAATGTCTTTCCTGATTGGTCTCCTAATAATTACCATTTTGGAACCCAACAGGCTTAACCAGAAATTGGCATAAGCACTGGCATAAATTCTTCATTCAAATGGGGCATAACACTGACATTTTTCATGTTAGGGAAAAGTAAGCACACATTAGAAGGATGGATGGTGAGATGCTACTAGGAGGATCAACTCTTACCTTATGTTTTATTTGCTCAGTTTTAAAGATGGCTGAGTTGTGAAACAAACTTTTTGAGTGGGGAAATACACAGAATAATAAAACAAATATTCACCATTTGCAATGAATAAATTTTACCGCAGCTATTCTGTTTGGTTGAGAAATTAAAACATCATAGATATATTTCCCATTTCTTTTTCTTTTTTTAATCTCTAATCATTCTTTCCTCCTCCTTCTGTCTTTCAGAGGCAATCAATATTCTGGGATTTTTTTTTCAATGCTGGCAATCAAACCCAGGGCCTCAGGCATGCTAGGCAAATGCTGTACCACTGAGTCATACCATCAGACCTCTCCAAGGTCTTTATAAATCTTTCTTATTTGTATATTTACATTTCTGTATACATATGCATCTATCGAGAACTCACAATACTGGTTTTGTATTTTATACTTTTACAGATTTTTGATAACATTTTATCCAATTCTTTGTTAACAAACACTTAGGCTGTTCTGAAATATTTGCTTGCTACTACAAATGATGCTGCAAAAGAATTTGCATAGACACTCTTTGCACATGGGTGTTAACAATTTATATGGGGTATACCTTTTCAACTGGGTAGATATTGCCAAATATGACTCTGGGTGGGTTGTGCTAATTCATGTTTATATCAGTCACATGAAAATTCCCCAACTTTTCCCCAATTACTGATGTTACACTTAATTTTTATCACCCTTCTGAGCAGAAATAAGGATGTCTCAATTGGTTGAAATTTGCATTTTACTGATTACTGTTGAATTCAAAACAGTTTTCATAGTTGATTTTATATTTAAGTTACTCCTATTATTTTATCTTTTACATATTTTACTATTCACTCAGTGGATTTTCTTTTCCCTTATTAGAGGAAACCATCCATTTTTCTGTTATCAAATACATTAGAGCCATTGAACGTTCTCTGATCCCTTCCCCACATTCTCCCTTCCCCTCTCCTCCCTTCCTTTCTTCCCTTGCACCCAGAGAAGAGCCTTCTCTTCATCACCCTCTCCTACACATACTGTTCTCATCTCTGGTAAGTTATATCCTGGCTTTTGCTAAAAATGCCCCAATTCTCTGACACTATTTTTACCTATCTATGTAATGAGGACACTGACTGTGGAGGTGATGTTGATGATGAACTTCATCATCCTGATTCATCTCTGTGTAGCCATTTATAATGTTCAGACTCCTTTCATGTCCACTGTAAAAACTCTTCTCCTATGTTCCCTGTGATGTGACTAAGGTTCGTATTAAAATTTTTATTAAAATCTTAGGAAAAAGCATCAAATGACCGCATATTTGTCATGAAACTAAATCCTCAAAGTGACCCCTTTGCCTGTGTATTCTTTATGATTTCTTAGTGGAGAGACAGGAGCAGAGGTGGGGAGGGAGAAGGAGATGATGAACAAATTCCAGAAGAGTCAGCAGCCTCCTGGATGTAATACCAGCATGCAAGGTCAGGACACAAATTGATATCGACAGGCTTCCAGCCTGTCCTACAACCAACACAGAATTGTATTGCAGAATGTTCATTGTATGTATTTACAAAGCTAACTAAATAAAAATAATTAAAATAATCAAAAATAATAATTAAAAGTAATTTGAATTAAAATAATTCAAAGAAAAAAATTCAGGGACAGGAGTTGTTCTGCGTTGAAACATTTTAGTTTGAAACAATCTGGTATTTTTTCTAGATGTATTTCTCAGTGTGACCCAAATGGTGTCCTGAGGCTGTCACAAAATCCAATAAAATGTTACATCATTCAAAGTGCAGCAAAAGTGGTTCTCCTGTACCTGCTTTTGAGTGGTTCAGGTTGCTAGGGGAGATGTATGTCCCATGGGGGAATAGTCTTTGGCACAGAGTAACAAATGACGAAGTTTCCAGAGGTGAGTCAGGAGGGATACTGATGGAGATGTTAAAGGAGACATAGAGAAGAAGGAAAGGAACCGAGTCAAGTTTAGGAGAAGTCTGTGGACACATGGTAGACCTGAAGGAATGTGAAGCCTATTGGTCAGCAGAGCAGACAAAAGTGAGTGTGTGTGTGTGGGGTGTGTGTGGGGGGGGGTTTGAGAATAAAGAGACTTCTTCCCCCCCCAATAAAAATCCTACAACTTTTCCCTAACAATGGACAAGGACACATGGAGATTGGCAGGTAGTATGTGGGCAAAATAGTAGCAGCAACTGATAAGGGGCAGCAGGAGGGTCCAGCTTAGGGAGGAGGTTGAAGCAAATGATCATAATGTACATTCTGAATTGAAAATTGCATGGTCCTGATTTTATCACCATGATACCCATTTATCAAATAATGCAAATAATTTATCAAATAATGCTATTTTGTGAAAGATTCAAAACAACTGTTATTTTCTTCCTGCTTCATTAGTATGAACTTGCCTGATCCTTAAGTTTCCACTATGAGAATCACTGGTTGACAGGTCTGTCACTGTGATTCCAAGAGGCGTTTCTCGCACAGGTTAGCTGACCAAGGGACTCTTCACATGTGCCCTGAATCTGGGACCGTTGTCCTAGATTCACACAGTACAGTATCATAGCAAAGGTGTAGGGACTTGGGATGGGAGAGGGCAATGAAGTGGTATTGAGAAGATCAAGGTCAAGGTTTTGAGAAGAGCAAGGTCAAGTCCACTGAAGAGTCTTGTGTGCTCAGCGGAGCCCTAAGAAGCCATCTGACTCCTGGAAGGAGGTGCCTGCCACGTTGGGGTGGGCTGAGAAGTGGGAGGCTGAACTGCAGAACTAAACCTCCACCCCTAAGGAAGCCCGGGAAGCCTGGGCCCTCTGGGAGCTTCCATTGTCTCACTTGTCAGGCAGGATGAGGGGAGGGCCCAGCCTTGTTCCCCGGGTTTCAGGAGAAGGAGTGGGCTAGGGAACGGGCAGCGAGCCTGAGCAAAGGCCACGGAACAAGGCGGCCTGTGGACAAGCGGGGAGGTTTAGGCTGGTGTCCCGCAGCTCTCCGGCTGCCGTTGTCCACGATGCTCACTCCATTGCACTGCTTCGTTGGCCAGGGGACCCAGAAGGACGAGAGCTTTTGCAAATTCGCGTTCTAAGTTAGAACTTATCCATGGTCCTTCAGCCCCGAGAGCATCCCTGAGCGTAAACCTGCCTCCTTACCGCAGGCGGCGGTCAGCGAGCGCGAGGTTCCTCTCCAGAAGGCGAAGGACAGCAGAGCCAGGGCACCTGCTGCGCTGAGCCAGACGCGGTAGGGAGCAGCCCCGGCGAGCGGAACCCTCCGCCCAGCTGCAGGAACACCGGGAGGATGGCGCGCCCGGGCTCCCAGCGGACTCGCTGGGGTTGTTGGAGACCCAGTGAAAGCAGGTCTCTGGGACCAGCCAATGAGTGACTTGACCCTGCACTTCCTGCCCGTGGGCCACCCGCCGTCCACCCCCTCCCATTTCCCCTTTGTGACTCTTAAAGTGAACAGTATTTGGAGCAAAGAGGTCTTGGAGGGAATGACACAGCCTTTCCCCTCCTCCAGGTTCAGAAAAGCACCCCCGCCCCAATGTCTGGGAAGTGCTTGGGCTCCAGCCCTACCCCCAGCACCCCAGCATCCATGGTGAGCACCTGTGCCTCTGCCTCCTCACACCCCTGGGCCCCTTCTCACTGGCTCTAATTTCTGGAATCTTCCTGCTACCCAGGAGCAGAAAGACCCTGCTAGTCCTGGAGAACCTGGGTGAGCCCCTGGCAGCAAACCACGTGGGCTGGCTGCCTCTTCTTTGCCACGTGACAGAGCCAACCCTAGGCACAGGCTCCAGTGTATCTGTGCGTTTTTTTGGGTGGGGCTGGTAGCAGGGCTCTAGAGTGTCTATTTTCCAAATGATTGCATGTTTAAAGTTTAAGCAACCATCATAAAGCAATGACCTCACACAGTGGGGTTGAGAATACAAAATGGATTTAGGTGGAGGCTGTCATACGCCAGAGAATCCCCACCTTCCTTCCTTTCTGTTGGCTTTTAA